TGGAGAACACCTGCAGCTGCTCTTCATACCTGGCGGTGCTGCCAAATCCAAAACCTGTGAGAATACGTTTGACTCCCATCATATTATGATCTCTACCAAAAAAAAAGAGGCTCTTTCAGTCTCACAGGAGGCACACAGGAGCTACAGGGGGCCCATTCAAATGCCATCTCGTACTCCACAGAGCTGTTGATATCTTGCTCAAATTTGCCCAACGCAGACTGCGAGCATGAAGCAATACGTGGAAATCTCACCATGAAATGAAAGCAAAAAGAGAAGTGTTTTAATGTGTCTTTAAATACCAGGAATATTCAGTCGGATCAGCGTGCAAACTAGCCTCTTTAGTTCTTCAGCCTGTAAACATAAGAATAGATGCATCGATCAATGATGACACATGCACGAGTATGTAACCAGTTAAAACAAACCCACAGTGTGCATGTTTTATACAACTGAACTACAATATAAGACGCCTGAGCACTCAGTGCACATTTCTAAAGGCATTTTAAATGTTGGTGTGTTATCTTCCTTCAGCAGGCTCAGTCCCTCTGTGTTGCACTCACACTTCACTAAGTGGCTTGTCAGCATTGTTTGCAGTCAAACCAAATGAGTATAAAGCTTGTTTCATTGGGTTCAATAATGCTAACAAGCACATTCTTTTTTCAGGGGTGGACACACAAAACAAAATAAGAGACTAAGATTCTAAATGTCAACTAATTCCCTCGAGTGATTTATACACAATTATTCTCCACATATAAAAACATTAAGCCTGCCGACACACAACAGGCTTGTGGTGTAGACTTAGAACTGCTGGAGCTGGGACTTTGTAAGATCATGAAAGAGCGGGTCATGAGAAATAAAGCTACAGAGGACGTCCAGCAAACTGAACTCATCACTGAGTGTTATTTATCTTAATTCACTACATTGAGGAATAAACAGTTGGTCACATTTATTTTTCTCTTGAACAACTGAAGATTGATATTTGTAGAGTTTAGAAAAAGAAAACCCTTTCAGCTGCATGGCCAAAACTACTGTATGTGGACACACAAGCATTACAGATTTCTCTTTTTAAAACTAATGGGCATTAACCTGCTGCTATAACCTTTGAATTTTGGGACCTGCTTGCAGAAATCTGCTCCCTCTCAGCAACAACAGCATCAGTGACATGCAGCACTGATGTCCAAAGGTGCTGGATTCAAGGTTGTAACTACAAACTGAGGACACTGAGATTCTTACTTATATTCTGAATTTAAGCAATTTGAATTTTATTCCAGGTAGTGTGGAGGAGGCTTTGAAACACCATTTAGACTTTCATGTTGGGAAACAAAACCCACAGAGATTACACCTGAACAGTGAAGTGAATAAATAAAACAAGCCAAATACCAGTTATTCAGTAACCTTTCTGGTTTGGCTGGGTAAATGGGATGGAAATTTATGACCTCAGTGTCTCTAAAAATCCTCACCGAAGGCACTGGTTGGACTGGATCAGGATCAGAAGCAAGGTTTATTATCAAGTTGGTTTTCACTAACAAGGAATATGCTCTGGTGTTTGGTGCTCTTAACAAATAAACAATGAAATATTAGGAGCAAATAAGACAAAATACTGCAACAGTCAAAAATGTAAATATAGAATAGAAATGTTACAATACACACTGTAAAAATAAAAGTAGCCTATTATACCATGCCAACAAATATATACAGTGTAGTCTAGCTAGAATGAGAGAGCTGCAGAGTTTTGTGCAGGATGTTCTGCACAGATTCTGCCAGGGGAAGATCTTCCACAAGAAACTGGTACAAAAAACCAAACCAAACACTTCTTTGTGGACGTCACTGCACTGACAGCGGTCTTGTTGCAATGTGGGTAATTTAGGTGCCAGGTTTTGACGTGGAAGAAGTATGCATTCATTTATTCATTTTCTGTAACATTCATTTTCTGTAGGCTGGAGCCTGTCCCAGCTGACATTGGGTGAGAGGCAGAGTACACCCTGGACAGGACACCAGACTATCACAGGGCTGACACATAGAGACAGACAACCATTCAAACTCACATTCACACCTACGGACAATTTAGTCACCGATTAACCTGCATGTCTTGGGACTGTGAGAGGAAGCTGGAGTACCTGGAGAACTCCACACCCAGGGGTTCAGCCAGAAACTGCACCACATGCCGCCCTGGAAGAAGAATGCATGGAATAAAAGAAAAAATAATAATAGCTCTTGTTCTGCTGCGTCAGTTTTGATTCTTTTTACTGTCTGACAATGTTAAAGATTTTTCTAAAAAACAATGCATACACTTACACACAGGTACAGGTAATCCCTTTTGATCATCACTTATGACAGACTAGACGTGTTTGGCAGTGTATTTTTCTACAGAGACTCTGCCCTCTGCCTGCATTTTCTTATTTCCTTTTCATTTTCTGTACTGGCGACGTTTATGGGTGTGTACCCTCACAGGGCTCAGGTGAGCTCAGGCTTTATAAAAAGAGAGTGATCTCACACCACGTGTCCAAGAGACCCAGTGCCGAAAAAAACCTCAAATACAGCGAGGCAATTGTGAACCTTTTAGAGCGTGATGCAGAATCATTGAACTCTTTTAAAGGTCCAGAGTGTAAGATTTCAGGGGATCTATTGGCATAATTTGAATAAGAATCATGTGTTTTCAATAGTTTATAATCACCTGAAAATAAGAATCATTGTGTTTTTGTTTCTTGGAATTAGACATTTACTACATACTGTGCAGGTCCTCTTTCATGAAGTCCGCCATGCTATTTCTACAGTAGCCCAGAATGGACAAACCTTGAGGCTATTTTAAAATTTTTATTTTTGTTATAAGTTCAACTTTAACAAAAACCTGTTCCTCTCATCATAAAATTTGTAGAATATATCTTTTATAATATAAAAATGATGTAAAAAAAAAAAAAAAAAGTTCAGTTGTACAACATTTAGGTAAAATGTAGGGAAACAAAATGAAAACAAAAACATTTGGGATCTGCTAAACATATGGAGTAAAAATGTAAAGTCCAGTTCAGACCAAACATTCGAGAGACGAGTTGAAACAGGAAACTACTTGCAATGCACCGGTCTGCAACGTTCTAAAAACCTACCAGTTCACACCAGTGCAACTAGATGAGACGGTGTATCATCTCTATGCAACAACTCTCTGTACTTCTGTTTTGATTTCCAGCTTTTCAGGCTTATTTTGTGGCTGAATATAATTTGCTGCTTCTTAAAATATGAATGAGGATAGTGATAGTGAGATACTGGCTACAGCTGCATTTGTAGTAGTGATGAAACGGTAAAAAACAAAAACAAAACAAGCATCAGATGGACTGTATTCATGATAAATACTCCACAGTAACATAAATAACCAGCACCAATCAATCAGTCAATGAGAATGTGTGTGTGGGAGGGGCATAAGCACATACAGTTATCAGCAGCAGTGACCCATTGTCTGACACCAGCACACCGTGAGGATGGAAACCAAGGGCTCGGCAGGGACAGAGCACCTGCCGCGGCACGCCAACATGCTGTCTGTGGTCATTTTGACTTGACCGGTGGACTTCACTACAGGCTGATTTTTTGTTGAAACAGCTGACGAGCTGAATGTTCTAAAACCAGTTGCCAGCAACTTGACCAGCTGAGTTGCAGCTGACACCATCAGTCGGCTTGAGTCGAGGTCAGCCCGGCCAGTTCACACCGCTGCAACTTTTCTCTGCAACATTCTAAAACAGTTTTGTCTTGTTGTTGCGAATCTTTGGTCTTTGGTCATGGACTTTCCACGTGCAGATATGACGTGCAAGGTACCCTGGGTGCGTTGGCTGTTGACGTTCTGGGACGAAGTGTCAAGTTCTGCCTGTTACATGCATTGTCTTATTTCAAAATAAACTTCCATTTTAACAGGAAATTTACCATTTACATACAGTCTCTTTCAAAATAAACGCACTACGTTAGTACAAGAAATTGACGTGGTTTTTTTTCCCTTCAACAACAAACACACATGGTTGGGTTTAGGAAAAAACAGTGTTTGGCTTTATAATCTTACGGGACATGAACACCGCTCTCCCGGGTGAAAGTCGCCCCACTCGGACTTTCGCTGCCTTAATTTCAGTTGTTGGCCCACTGTGTTCCCCCTGACACCGCCAAGCACCATTAAACTATAATGGCGACCGCTCATGTATCATGTTGACTTTAAAGGACAGCTTTTTTCATCAGTGTCTGATTCCACAAGTCGCAGCCCAAGTGTTAAATTTGGACGACTTCAGAGTGAGACCAGGTTGGGGCGTAATGTCTAAATAATCTGATAGTTTTTGCCAGTTTATAATTTTTAAATTTCAGATTTTCAGTAGTGGTCAAACACATTTAGAAATTGGCATCTTTAAGAATATAAATGGAGGTTAGTCAGAACAGACAAACCAAACAGTGGTTGAGAAATGCACTCTTAGCGTTTTTGTGTTTCCACATAGGCCACTGTTCTCCTACATGCCTGGCACACAAAGTTTCAGTTCTGCGACTTCACCACTAGATGCCGCTAAATCCTTTACACTGGACCTTTAAGAACTAAATCATGCAGCCCAGACCATGAAAAGAGCCCCAGACCAAAACCACTCATGTGCACTTTGACTCTCATATTATGGGGAAAATTATTATAGGAAGAAATTGAATCTGTGAAGTTCCTCTTGGTTCCAGTCGAGGACATTTTGGACATTCAGATACTGTTAATCTCTGATGTGACAGGTTTGACAGGCTGTGAACAATCCATGATGGATCACTTATTTAAAAATAAAAAAAAAATAAAAACTCGGATGTCTCTCAGCCTCTGTTATCTTTCTCTCTCCACCCAGAACATTTACATAAAGTTCTGATACTACAGGCAGTATATTAATGTGATACTTGCTGGGACAAGCCTTCGCCGAGAGACAGCCTGACACGGACGCGCACTCGGGAGCGCGCAGCCGGAGCAGGTGGTGACTCTCCTCCTCATAAGAAGCAGGAGACAGTCCGGATGCTCGGCACATCCCGGGGTGGTGCACGGAGAGCGGACTACGGAGGTGCTGCTGCTGCTGCTGTGTGTCGGTCCTGTCCGCTGTCAGCCTGCAGCCATATGACCGAGCTGCTGCTCTGCAAACCATAAACAACAACAAAGGAAAACAACAAACAAACAAACGCGGGTAAGGAATTATCTTTTTGCACGAATTGTGTTATTCCCAGAGGAAGTGCTGGGGTTGGTTATTAGCGTTTTTGCGTAACGTAAAGCCACTAGTGTCGGTCCTTAAATGTCCCCACGGGGCTTTGTGGTGTTTCTGTGATGCTCAAATGAGTTTGCACTGACTTTATGGTCATTTATGTGATTTATAAACCCTTATTTTATGTTACTCATACATAGATTATCTGTAGTTTTCACTCCTGCAGATACAATTGACTTGAATCCTCATTAATATTAGAGGTTTATTACAACTGCCCCGTGCAATAAATACTGTAGGCTTCCACACTGATCTCCATCTGCGCGTAAAAACGCATCAGTCTCGCATCTCAATAATGTCACAAAAGTTAATAACTTAATTAATGCAAATGGTTTTGTTCCTAGTTTCACTGATAACAAGGCAGTTTGACTTGTAGAGATAGAGTCGATCAACAGAGACGATTGAGAGCAAGAATGACTGATGCCAAGCAGCAAATTAGATTGTGTCTGATAGCGGAAAAAAACAGAGTTAACCTGATAAACAATTTAACTTTTGTGATGGCGGTGTTTCCTGCTGCTGTCAGGCTTTAAAATCACATCAACATCACCGCGGAATTTACTGGATAAATGGTGAGGAGAAGCAGAAATGATTGCAGCCATTATCTCTTCTTGACAGCTCATTGTTGCTCAGTGCACACCAAAGACAGTGTGTGTGTGTGTGTGTGTGTGTGCATGTAAGAGTGCGCGTGTGCGTGCGTGCGTGTGTGTGTGTGTGTGTGTGTGTGTGTGAAAGAGAGATAAAGGAAGAGAGGGAATGGGGTGGGGATTAAAGTTAGGAGCCTCAGTATGACACCATGCAATTAAAAGTGAAACAGGGCTGCAGTGGAGCAACATTTGTGGACTCACATTAACAAGTTGATTTTAATTAATAGCAGGTCAGTCAGCGGGGGAAACATTAGACACAATCACAGTGAGTTGACCTCGGGCCAAAACAAAACTCAAATTCATTAATAAGTGAATTATATGAAAATGAACCCAGGTAGCCAAAATGACCAAACTCAGCATGCTGGAAGAAATAAGTTGGCCTGCATTTGGTTGCCTGACTCGGCTGACACTCGGGATGAATGATGCTCCAGAATCGTGCCAAATAAACTGGTCCGATGCTGGCTGCTGACACTGCCATCACTGGGTCATTATCAAAAATGATCTGGCTAAGCGTTGGCCCAAGCTCTGCAAACCGGAAGAAATGAGTTGGGCCGCAAGAATTTGCTTGACTCGACTGAGACTTGGGATGAGTGATGCCCCAGAATCATGCCAAATTAACTGGCCCGATTCTTGCTGCCGAAACTACCATCACTGGGCCATTATCAAAAATGACCTGGCCCAGCAGTGCCCAAACTCAGCACACCAAAAAAAAAAAAAAAAAAAGTCAGGCCACGTCCAGTTACCCAACTCAGCTGAGACTCGGGATGAATGACACCCCAGAATTTGGCCAAATGAACTGGCACAAGCTGTCGTCACTGCCATCATTTGGTTGTTATCAAGAATGACCTGGCCCAGCATCAGCCCAAACTCGGCACACCAGAAGAAATAGGGTGGGTTGCAAGAATTTGCTCGACTTGGCTGAGACTTGGGATAAATGACACGTCAGAATCAGGCCAAATAAACTGGTCCGATTCTGGCTGCCGACACTGCCATCACTGGGCCGTTATCAAGAATGACATGGGCCAGCATTGGCCCAAACTCCGCACACTGAAAGGAATAAGTCAGGCTACATCTGGTTTCCCAAGTCGGCTGAGACTCGGGATGAATGACGCCCCAGAATCGGGCTGAATAAACTGACCTGATTCCAGCTGCTGACACTGCTATCACTGGTGTAAGATAACCCAAGGACATCATGGACATCACAATGAAAAAATAAGTCGAGTTCGGTTTCCCAACTCGAAACTCGGAATAAATGATGCCCCAGATTCGGGCCAAATATACCGGTCCAGTTGTGGCTGCCATTATTGCCATCACTAGGCTGTTATCAAAAATGACCTGGCCGAGCATCAGCCCAAAATCAGCACACCAAAAGAAATAAGTCGGGCTGCTTCTGGTCACCCAACTGGCTTAGATATGGGATGAATGACACCCCAGAGTCGGGCCAAATAAACTGACCTGATTCCGGCCGCCGACACTGCCATCACTGGGAAAAGATGACCCAAACATCATTTGATGTTTGAGTGAAAAATAATTTAGTGTTGTCTCCAAAAAGTGTCTGAAATCATCTGCATTGTCATCATTCACCTAAAAGATTTAGAACACCCAGTGTAAGAGTGTTAAACAAGGACTCCAACAGCCTTTAAAGAATCCCAGTTTGTCTTCATTCTGTGCTTTCAGCCAGCTACAAAAGCAAATCTCTTCTGTTTCTTTCATCCTGAGTTTCAGCCAAAAGGCTACATTGCTAAACATCCACCCAGTCTCCTCCACCGTGGTGTGAAACTGGCCTTGAACATCACTGCCAAGCGTAGCTACATCTGTTTGATCAAGACTCTTTCAACATTGGCAGGCAGTCAACACTGCTTGCTTCCACCAAAAGGAGGGGGGGAGGAGGGGAGAGAGAAACTTTGGGTTCATATAATGCGTTTACATGCTTCACTTGATCATCTCTAAACAGGAGTGTTTCCCCCTGCTGACCGGCCAAACTGTCTGTCCAGACACAGACCCAGGTGTCCAGATTTCACGGGTTAGCAAAGAACAAGTTTTGTTGTTGGTTTGCGAAGCCAAAGCTTTGTTGTGTCCTTATGAAAGATGCCACCGACACTTTGTTCTAATTAAGACAGAATAAATCCTCCCTCTGTCTCTCTCTGCCGCTTTCATTTTTTACCGCCTCTCCTTTCCCTCTCTGTTTTGTTCTCCCTCTCCTCTCCTCTCTCTGCACATAACATCTTATTTTCTCCTTTCCTCTCACTTTCTCCCCCCCTTCCTCCTCCTCCTCCTCCTCCTCCTCCTCCCCTTTTGTCTCTCTCATTCTCTCTCCTCTCTGTGGGACGCCTCTTGCTGTGCTTCTGGTGCTGTTTGTGTCTCACAGCATTTTTGGAACATGCCTCCATGTGGGTGTCTGGAGGAGGTTTCCCCGCTGTGAGTGTGTGTGTTGTGTTCATGCATTGATTGTCTCTGTGTGCGAGTGTGTGTGTGCGTGCAGGCCTCAGTGCACTCAAACAGGAGATAAGGGGCCACGTCGCAGGATGTCGCTGATGTTACCATGCATCAGTGACAATGTTCTGGTCTCGCCCCACATCTGTTGTACCTGCGACCAAATTACCACTGAATCATTTGGTGTCTCCCTGCTCTCTTTGCTCCGGCTCACTTGCTGACAGATGGACCCTCCTTATGGCTCTTGTTTTTTTATCACCCTGTGTTGCTTCCAGGGGCCTTTGCCATCCAATACACACCTAAAAATCTGCAAAGAAAAACCCTCCCAGTCGATGTGTGAATCCACCGATATTGTTTGCGGAGGATTTTGGGAGACAAAGCACTTTTATATTGCTGAAGTCAGTTGTATTGGCCCTTGAGGAAATGAAGTTTTATGGTGTTAACTGCAGCTTGGCAGAGGTGTTTATTATGCAGAGACATTAACGGGAGCTGTAATTTGGGTGCTTGTTATTGAGCTGATATTTATGATAATTTGGTGGCGCAAACTAGACCTATTTTACCCGAGAGGAGAGATGAAAAAGTGAGTGTTTATGCATCAAATATTCAGCATTATTACTTAAAGACAGGGAACAATGGCTCAGTATGAATAAATTGTATTTGTGTCACAACAGATAACACATTTATTTTCTCTCTGTGTCTATTATATTAAATCCTGCATTTTTCTTCTTATCATCTGTCGTGTCTGTTTAGAGCAGATACTTAAGCGGCTGCTCAGTGAACCGTGAAGCTCAAAGGATATTGTTTCTCTCTCTCTCTCAAAGTGACCTGTGTGCTAGACTATTTCTTAACTGGGAGCGGGAACTTCCTGGAGAAATAGTGAGGCACATAACCAGAATTTTCCTTTCTACCTTTTGGAATTTGAACAGATAAAACAAATGAGACCTAACATGTTAACTGAGCTTTACAAATGCTGGTAGGTAGATTCTGGTACCTTTGGACATCACTGAGCTAGCTGTTTCCAGCTGTTTCTTTATGCTAAGCTTATGCTAAGCTAAGCTAAACCATGAATACATTATATCTGCATGTTTCATACGTATCATATCAATGTTTTTAAAGTGATTTAGCATATGAGATGACGTTTGGGAGGTGGAGGGGATGGTGGATTGTGTGTCACATAAGTGCAGATCTTTGGGTTGTTTTCCACCATCTTGTCTTTAGCGGCACATCGCGATATTTCCCACTGTATTTGTGGCACCAAATATGGGTATTTTTTTACAGAACGTAGGGGTCTTTACTGGCACATCATGGCGTTTCCCAGCTGTGCTTGAGCCACTGATTCTGGGTGTTTTTAGCAGCACATCGCAGCATTTCCCAGCAGCATCTGTGGCACTGAACCTTGGTGTTTGTTAACTAAACGTGGGAGTCTGATGGCACATTGTGAGTTTCCCAGTGGCATTTGAGCTACCAAACCTGAGTGTTTTTAATTGCACATTTCCCAGGGGCATTAAAGCCACCGAACCTGGGTGTTTTTGGCAGCACAGCGTGGCGTTTCCCATGGCCTTTGTGGCATCAAACGTGGGTATTTTTTTTACTGAACATGGGTGTCTCTAATGGCACATTGTGAGTTTTCCAGTGGCATTTGAGCGACCGAACCTGTGTGTTTTTTGCGGCACATCACGGTGTTTGCCAGTAGTGTTTAATCGGGTCCATGTCATTGGTTCGACAGCCCATTGGTTCGACATCCCATTAGTCCGACTGTCCACAGTGCTGAACGGCTCGAGGCGGGCGTATGGTGCGCCGCGACCGGCTTGAGGCGGAGCAGGCTCACGGCTTATGTGTTTGTCACTTTCT